AGCAGTATAAACTGGGTGTGGTGGGGCAGGCTTGTAAGGCTAGCATGGGGAAGGCTAAGGCAGGAGGAGCCCAGCCTGGAGGATTCATCAACTTGTATCTCAGGAGGAGGAAAGAGGAAGGGAGGGGAAGGGGAAGGAGAGGGAGGGGAGGGAGAGAAGAGATGTACTTAATAATATCCCTTAGTTATGGCAGGCTGATCGGGCCCATAATCTCCCAAATGAGCGTACAGCAAAGGCTAAATAAGTAAAAGAGGTCCTCCTCAGGGCTCTAAGGGGACCAAAGTCCTCTTACAGAATTCGAGATTCTCTCAGGGCCAAGACCAAGACCTTCTCTGGGTGGCCCGGATTTAGTTATCAGAAGAAGAGAGGGGAATACTCCAGAAGGGCAGGAACCACACAAAGATTTATCCAAGTAATGTGCTAAGTTAATGCACTCAGGGGTGACATGCCTAAGGCTACAGTCTTCCTCTAGTTGAGTCTGGAGCCCGGTGTCCTTGGCTGTGACCTTGTCTTATCCCCTGAGGCTTTCCAGCTTCATCCGCCATCACAGGCCTCAGTAGGGACCAGCGACTCACAGAAGGTCACTTGCTATGTGTCCACAGCCCATCTCCAGACCAAGGGCCAGGCCTTGGGCAGACTCACAGGAAACAAGAAGCCAGTTGGTTAATTTAAGTCCCGCTCATGGCTACCTCATAGTGGTCTCCATCAGAAAAGAGAAGAGGAGAGGAGGCAAGGGAGGGAGGGAGGGAAAGAGGTTGGGAGGGGAGGGGAGGGAAGGGGAGGAGGGGAAAGGTGGGGAGAGGAGTGGAGAGGAGGGGAAGACAGGCAGGCAGGTGACAGCTCAGTGAAAAGGCCCTGAATTCTTTCTGGTAGCAGAAAGGAAGGAAGGAAGGAAGGAAGGAAGGAAGGAAGGAAGGAAGGAAGGAAGGAAGGAAGGAAGGAAGGAAGGAAACATTTACAGAATCTGTACTGAAAATTGTGAATTTCATCTAAATTACATTCTTTTCTGAGGTTTTTTATATGATTACATATATATTTGTAATACATTAAAAAAAATCTGAACAATACAAAAGAATGTGGCCCAAAGTAGGATTTTTTTGCCAGTCTTGTGCAAGGCCTGTTGTTACCAGCCGCATCTCTACTAAACGCATCTGTACCCTGTGAACACTTGCACACAAACCCGGCTCTGGCTGTGCGTTTGTCACCCCGACACGGATTCGGTATTCCTTCTTGCCCGTCAGCAAACATCGTCCGTCCCCCACGCGGGCCACCCCGGCGTGTACCGGACACGTCTCCAAAAGCACGCGGTGCAGGCCTGGGCCTCCGCGCAGCGGCGCTCAGAGGCGGGCCCGCACGGACGGTGGGATCGCTGCGCTGCATCGCTGATGGGTCAGAGCCCACCGGGCTGCGAAGGCGGCGGGGCGCAGGAGCCTTCAGGGCGCGCCGTGTCCCTCGCCCTTTCTCCCTGGCCTTTTCCTGCTTCCCGACCACCGCGAGGCGGGCAGCCTGCCCCTCTGCCGTGCCAGCCGGCACTTTCTGCCTCTCCGCGGGCCTGGGAACAACGCAGCCCAGCAGCCATCAACCCAAACCTGTGAAAACAGCAAGCATAAACCTTTCCTCCTCTTGGCTGACTGTCTGGTACTTCGTCACAGAGATGGAAACAGCCTGACACTGGGCCAAATGTAGCGCTTATTACTTATTACTTATTCATTGTGTCCTATAAGGATGAGAAACGTATTTTTCCACTGTATTTTATGGAGGGTTATTGCTAGTGTATGAGAAAGGGGCTGATTTTTCACACTTCGTTGGCCTCCCCATAACCCCAATACTCTGCTGATTCTCCAGGATATTTAAGGTTTACAAGCAGGCAGCTAGGTCTAGAAGCACCTGCCCTGCCTCTGCACAGCGCGGGCCCCCTCACTAACATTTTGGGGACTTTCCTTCTCTCCCATCTCATTCCCAGTTTGTCTGCGCACCTGCGGAGACCCTCCCCTTCCTCAAGTACGTGCACCCGAGTCTGTGTTCCGGCTTCCACTCTGCGTAGCATCCGAGAGAGAAGGCCTGAGGTTCTGCACACACGTGGCCCTGGGAGTCCAACCCGACATGAGCAGGGTTATTTTTCTCTCAATAAAACGGAAAAGGCAAAAGGCAGAGGAGAACTGGCGCTGCCATTTGGCACGTGCCCCTTTCTTTCATGTCCCTGCGTGAATAGGGGCGTGTGAGTTAGAGGTAGTTTATGGGTACCCGGAAACCAGCCTCATTCTAAGCCTTGGGCCTTGCTGTGCAGACCTTCCATCAGCTCCTCAGCAGGAGTCATGCTATTTGCCACATAAGGAAACGTGCTTTGCTCCAGTGGAGCTGTGATCCATTATGCTCGGAATGTTCCCTTTCTGTTCTCTGGAAGCCAGAAGATACACGTTTTTTACAGGCCCAATCCAAGTCTCTCCTATGTCATCAAAAGGTCTGCACCCGCTCCCCAAGCATGTGTCACCGCTGTCCTCTGTCCCTGCCTTGTGCCCAGCACCATGGCAATAACAGCAAATGCCATCACAGTCTACTTCGCCTTCAGGGCAACCGAATCACACCTGGGACAGGCGGAAGCTAGCAACTACAGTACCCCGGGCGCACCGCACTGGACGCCCTCGGCAGAGATCTGTAAGGGCTAGTTATCGGAAGAGAGATAGCGGGAGAAAGCGCTTCAACGGCTCTTGACAAATGGGCAGGACTTGCAGAGCTGGTAAGACAGAAGCACGAGGGAAGACCCCACCTCCTCGGCCTTCGCCCCGCCTCCTCTATCTTCGCCCCGCCTCCTCTGCCTTCGCCCCGCCTCCTCGGCCTTCGCCCCACCTCCTCAGC